GTGCGAGCACGATAACACCAGTCAAGTGAGTGGCATGAACTTGGCACTTGCTCAAGGTTGAATTCCCTTCTAGAAGCTTCGTTGAAAGCTATCAGAACTGAAGGAAACCCATTTACGGCAGGGCCCAGGCAACCCTGGATCCTTTCGCAGCCCCCAGCAACTATAGGGCTCTTCCCATGAAATACAGGAAACAGCGTCGGCCAACAGTTTTGCAGAAAGGGATGAATCGGGATTGCGGAAAGGGATGAATTGGGAAACAAAGACACCATCGAGGCTAGTCCTTGGCAGCCTGGTCGCTGCCTACCAAGCGCTTCAGCATACCCAGTCCTGCAAGGCAGAGTGGCGAGAGACTTTCGGAAGGATCTTGGCTTGAAAGACATCGCGCATTGCCTTGAGCTTGGGCGACCCCACGTAGCGCCCGGCGAACGTCTTCTCCGAGATCTTGACCTCGCCGCCGCGGCCATCCTCGCATGCCTCTTTCTTGCTCTTGCCAGCGTCGGCTTTCGCCTTGGCCTTGGCGCTGGCTTTGCTGCCTGCGCCGGTGGCCTCCGCGTTCTCCACCCTAGCCATCGTCTCCGCGTCTGCCTCGAGCGTTGCTTTCGCGTCGCCCTTTGCGTTTGTCGCTTTGCCCTTCGCCTTCGCCTTCGCTTTCGCCTCGCCCTTTGCCTTCGCCCGCCCCTTCGCCTTCGCCTTGGCTTTGGCCTTGGTGTTCACCTTGCCTTCCGGCTCATCTTCAGCCTCACCAGCAGGCTGCCTGAATTCGGCCTGCAGCTGCTCCCGTCGAAGGATCAAAGGCACCTGGCTCTGCCACGCAACCCCTTCATCCATGGATGGGGCCATAGGCTAAAGATCTTTTCTGTGGGGTCATAGGCTAAACATGCAACTTCCAGCCTCCAACTGCATCAAGCTAGCGACGTCCGAGTCTCTGCCTCGCGCCAAGAGCGGCTTCTCGGTGGCCGCGTCGAAGTTGCCCTCGCTGCCAGCCAGATCCTGCAGGTAGCCGCTGGGCTTCTGGCCATCACCCTTATCCAAGTCTACGTTTTCATCATCGTTACGCGTCGCAGTCGTAGTCGCATTGTGCTCCAAGGCGCCGTCAGTCAGGCGCGTGTCCACACAAGCCTTTGCCAAGCCCTTGTCACCGTAAACCTCGAAGGCTTTGCCCTGTTCCTCGCCAAGCTCCGCATCAGCTTGCCGGGCCAAGTCCTTCCCGTCATCCTCGCACTGCAGAGCTGCAGCCGCTATGCCAGCCGTGACAGCATCAGCTTCGCCCTGCGAATCTGACAGCTCAATCACCTCACTCGCGGCAGCCATTGCCTGCGTGGCGTTGGCTTGAGTCGGGAAGCTGGTTGGCAGGGTCTCCAGGTTGTCCATGCTCAAGGCAGCACCTGAGAAATGACAAAGGTGGGCTTACATGTCTATTTCGGGCAATCGTCGTTTTATGTTTGGAAGCAGGGGGAAACAGTTAAGACATATCCTGTTTTTAGGATCGAGCCACTGGACTTTCCTCGCTTCAGCGCCCGCTCCTCCAGCTGGAAGCTGCAGGGTTCGACACGCGGAATGACTTGTAAGGTAGGGGGTGTGACATAAACCCGTGTAACAAGGCCCCTGGCACCAAAAGTGGGAGTTTATTTGCCATCGTGCCTCAACACCCGCATTCTCTTCAGAATCTGCGTTCGTTTCAGCGCGGCATCAACTTCCATGTGATCCGCTTGAGGAGTGTGTGGCGGCTGGACACCAACCGCAGCTGCAGATGCAGATGCTGGAGCTGCAGCTACAAGTGCGCAGGCAGGTTGCTTTGCCGACTGGCCAAGCTCGCTGCGGGGCGCCAACTTGTTGGAAGCAATCTCCCCCGCGTTGGTTTCCAAAGGGTTGGAAGCGCTCTCATCAGAACCAGTTTGGCTTTGAAGGTATGGATCTTCAGCAGTGTCAGTCTCATTTGTTTCGGTGCCCTGGGGATCCTCATCAACTTCACCCGGACCAAGTTCACGAGGCGCCTCCGGTTGTTCTGCAGGTGGGTCTTCAGATCCCCAAGCATCATCGAGCATGCGCCAGAAGTCGTTGAGCACTGAGTCCTCAGTTCAATTTCCAAGCGATTGTAAGGACCCCGGGGCAAATAGTGTGTATGGCATGGTTACGCAGCCAACACAACAAGCTGAATTGATTTGACATGTGTTTGGGTCTCAGGCACGCGGGGCCGGATTGATCCAGCAAGCCACCTCCTCAAAGCGTGGGAGAAGAGTTTCTTCAAGCCCCAAGAATCCATAGACACCAGTGCTTGGTTTGTAGGCAGGGCACACAAGACTCTCCATCGTTGCACCTCAAAGGGTTGACACATTGAAGCGGCATGCCCCTGGTTTGTGATGCCTCAGCTTGGGCGTTTTGATTTTCGGGGGCATTGAAACTGAAAAGCTGGTGAAGGCAAAGCAACACGTGTGTTCAACCTGTCTGGCCTGTCGCCGAATGCAATCAATGGGGATGGGGCATGGGCCTCCGCTCTGTGGCAGCCACCACTGCGCAACCACCGTAAGCGGCTTTATGTTTAGCACCAAATGTTTGCAGGATGGCAGGCCGATGGTGGCAGCGCTTGCCCACTGCGTGATTTGGCCATGGGCGCGGGCCAATTGGCGGATCGAAGGATCTGCCTCCATCATGTCTGCAAGATTAGCCATCACGCTACGCTAGTTCCAACTAATGACTTTGAACCTCCAAAATGCTTGAGGCATCAGGTTTGCTAATGTGAAGGGAAGTATGGGGACAGCAAGCTCACCCTTCTCTGTGCAAAACATGACGGTTCTGCCACTCGCACAGCGCTCAGGTCAGAGCAGCGGGCGCCATCGGTGGAAAAAGCGTCGCACTGCAAACGGGCCGGGCGTGGCTTCCAATTCTGGCTGTGGGGACTTTTGTTCTGAGATGAATGAAAAGCGTAGCTTTACATGATGGGACTGCCAAAACAATTTGTGAAAGTAGCATAAGTTGAAATTCCAGCACTCCAAAGCCGGCAGGTCGATAAGCTCACCTTCAACCTGAATGATTCAGAAAGTGCTCGCAAGCACTTTTTTCTGCCACCAACCCTTTTTTTGGTTGCAGCAGAAATTATGCATACAAAGGATGTCCCAGGTATATATATATATATACATGTATCAAATCCCAAAAACCTGGGTCTGTGGGAGTATCAAATGTAGCAATAGTATACAATACATAAACGAATATGGTTGACTGTAATGGAGATATAGTTTGAATGTGATAAGACGTTTGGTGTCGGTTTTCCTTTGAGGGCCCAAAAGTGGCCAATGTTTGTTCAGAACGAGAGGCACGAAGACACATGCAGATGTCAGGGTTGCGGCAGGGTTGCGTGTTTGACAGGGTTTTCGAGCCATGCTCCTCGTTGAAACATTACGATGATTTCAAGGGAAGCCACCTCTAAATTGATTAAGCTTTGAAGGGGGAACCTCCAAAAGTGGCCATCGTTTTAAGGGACACCACCAGTAAATTGATCAACTTTTGAACGGGAAGCCCAGTGACCCCTGTTGTCATTTGTCACCGTGCGCAATTCTATTTCTCGACATGGACGGCCTTCTGAAAGGCCAGTCTTCACATGTCATGTGTGATTGGAGCCTGTTCAAGCCACTGATTGTTGGACATTTGTAGCTTGCGATCAGCATGCCTATGGCCGGCCTTGCAACTCATCAGATTCAAGTCGAATTGTTGCTTTGTCACCACTGAAAGGGCGGAGATAGAGGTAAGATCAGCCACAATTGATTTGCTTTTCTCCACATTCACTGAAGTTTACAGCTGGCCTTCGCAGACAAAGACTTTTTCTATGGCTCAATGCAAACCGCTGGTCATGACAAGTGTGGCCCGGGCACGGTGTCTTGCAACGTTTCGGACATCAGTACGTAGCCTTACCCCAGCCGAAGCTCCCTGGCCATTCGCCTTCCAAACCCCAAGACTCTCGGGCCGCGCGTGGCTGGTTCACCTTTTCCGTGTTGCAACACTGTGGCCATGGCTCAAAACCAATGGGATCCCATTTTGGGGTGTTCGGTGCACCACCCATGTCAGCCTATTTTAGTGGGGCTTGGGATGTTTATTGGGGGTACGATGTGGGTTTCGACCCATGGCCATGTATCGCAGTACTATTTTTGTTCGACAAGCCCACCTCGAAGCACGCGTCCATGAGTTGTAATCGAGTCGGACACAGTCGCTCGCTCACCGAATGGCCGACTTTTGGCGACATGTTATTTCTATCCACATGTATGCTGGCTTGCGTGATGCACACGTGCCTTGCTTGGAAATGTGTTTGATGCTGGCAGTTTGGCGATCACCATGGTTGATGCATGAGTGTCACTTCTGAAAGCCACAAGACTTGCCTGCCGTAGACAGATCCAAGCAGACCTGCAAGCCACAACTTGCCTGCCGCGGAGCGGATACCGAGAGGACATGTTGAGAGAAATACTTCAGAGTGTCCTTGTCTAAAATAATGACTTGCAGCGCCAAGGTGATCTAAAGTAAACCGCTGGATGGCTGTTTCCGATGCACTGGAAGGACTCGAGATGCACCAGTTCATGAAGAGTGGAAGGATCTTGTTTGTTTTCCATGGAATCATATCATTGTTCTCAACACTTGCGAACCTGGACCAGGGAGACTGAGCAGACCCCTTAGGCCATGCAATCCGCAAAGATCTGGCACTAGCGCACCCCTTTTGGGGTTTCTTCATTTTTGTGGTCCCCTAAAATGGCAACATGCTTTTGAGTCTCGTTGAGCCACTAAAAGGGGATCCAGTTTGAGAACCTCCCTTGAGTACCACCAGTAAGTACCACCATTTTGAGTACCACCATAAATTGCCATGTCCATTTCCTTGAGGTAGATACCGCCAATTGCAAAACAACTCACCATCCAGTAGCATCTTGATTTCCCTTCAAGCACCAATTTGAGGAACTCCCTGGCGGGTTTTCCCCCTACCAAACCGGTGGCCGCAGGTTTTTTTTCGGCGCGAAAGCCAGGTGGTGGACGCCTTGGTTTGCCTTGCCTCCTGGGACTTGCGGCCGCCGGTGCTCGGCGCGGCGCTTAAATTTTCGGACCACGGTTGGAAGACCTATGACACGTACAAAGCAAATCCTATGACTATAGACCAGAGATACTGCTAGAGACTTGCGATAAGAAGATATAAGAAGACTTGTATAAACACCTTACCATAGGACAAGCTTCGCCTTGGTTTTCTAGTTGTCTTCCTGAGCTTTTGGCCAGCAAGGGTGATAGCGCTTGCGCTTGCCCTTCTCTCTTTGTGCTTTGGCCCTGCATGGCAAATCGGGCGGGGTAGACGAAGTATGTGTCTTAGAGTCACGGCGCCTGTTTGTCCCAGCCAGCAGCCAGCAGGACCCGGGCCAAGCAAGAATCCTTGTGACAGCCAGCCCTTGTGACACTCAGCGCCTTCCAGGGATGCAGCACGAACTGTGAACCGCAGTCCACTCAAGGTAGGACTTAGTTGACGTAGCATCTTCCGATGGCGCGCAAGGAGGTCGCGATGGAAGGGAAGATTTGGCCACCTGTTTGGGTCTACGGCATCAACGATCACCTGGACATCCCCAGCGAGCTGCCTCCCGGATTTGAGCCCAGCGGCCTCCTGTGCGCGGACTTTCGGAAGCTGTGCGCCACGGTCAATGCGGCAACTCACCCAGCCTTTCGGGCAAAGCTCGCGAGGAGAGTGAAGCCCGGTTGCCCTTTTTTCAACTTGTTTCAACTTTTTGGGGAAGTTTTCATTTAATGTCAACCAACCAAAGAAGGGTGGGTTGCCCAGTGGCTTGCCTTCTTTTTTCAACTTTTTTGGGGAAGGGTTCCCATTTAAAGTCAACACCAACCAAAAAAGGGTGCGTTGCCCAGTTGGTTGCTTTCTTTGTTCAACTTTTTCGGGGTTAAAGTCAACCAACCGATTCTTTTCTTCCCATGGCAGTGGGCATCTCAGGAAGGAACCTTCCAAGTCCTTGCCGTCTCCGCACGAAGCTCGCAGAAGGCCCAGCCTGCTGGGTAAAAACGCGCACGACATCTCGCTGAGTCTCAGCGAAGAGAAGCCGCCCAAAGAAGGGCCAAACCTCGCGGTGAAGTCTTTCCTCTTTGACCGAGCAACCATGAGTTTGCTTAGCCTTCTGCTGCCTTCTGTTCAGAACGTCAAGGTCCTGTGCTTCTCAGACTGCAATCTGGACTGTGAAATGCTGCGGCTTCTCAGCAGTGGCTTGGTGTCGCATTGCTCTGTGGAGTCCTTGCAGATCGAATGGAATAGCCTCGATTTGCCACTGCCAACTTTGGAAGAGGAGGATCAACAGGAAGAGGAGGAGAATGAGGTGCCCGCTTTTGACAAAGCGTCCAGCCTGTTGGAGGCCCGGGAGAGGAAGCGCTACACGATGCAGTCAGATCGGCTGTTGCTGAACTTCAGGGAATGGCTGGAGAGCCGGTTCCAGGGTTTGGAGGCCGCCTGGCGAGTCCTGGATCTTGCAGGAGTAGATTCTTGGATGCTGTTGACCCCTCTGCAAAAAGTGTTCAGCTTTTTGTGCGTTCAATGTGGAAAACCAAATACTCGAAATCCCAAAAAACATGTTAAAGTCTAAAGATCCGTTGCCCAAAAACATTGAAAGCAAAATCCTTGAAATCCCCAAAAAAAGTTAAAGTCTAAAGATCCGTTGCCCACTAGCAATCAAGGATTGGGACGCCAAGCTCCAGGCTCCCGACTTTCACGTCTCTCAGTTGTTCAGTGGCACCTTTTTTTCCCCAATTTTATTCTTTGGGGTGGCTGCTTTACTGAAAAGGGTCTTCCCCAAAAAGGCTTCCCTTTTATTCCAGGGTCACTGAACAACTGAGGTCTTGCTCTACGAGAAGCTGGGCGTGAGCGGCCAGCAGGTCTTGGAGGTCTTCGAAGTGCTCGATGGCCCGGACTATGGCGCAGATGGAGGAGTGACCATGGAGGCGTGGGTCAATAAAATCCGTGCCCAAAATGGACCCCTGGTAAATGGAAGGTCAAAAATCCGTGCCCAAAAAAGGGTTGCCCTGGTAAATGGAACGTGCGGTCCATATCCTGGTGGTTTCATTTTGACCCATCAGGTCATGAGGGAAGCGCTGCAAGGCTTGCCGGAGATCGGCGAGGATGATCCCCTTGGCCTCAGCCTGGCTGGATTCCTTGAGCCCAGCAGCGTCCTCGAGTGTGTGAGTTTTCGCGCCTGCGCCATCAGCCGTTTTGAGCTGGGGCCTATGAGCACGGCTTTGGCGAAATGCCCCTGGCAGCTGAGGGCCTTGAACCTTTGGGACAATCGCATCTGCGACAAGGGCGCCGAGCTCCTGGCCTTCGCGCTGGACGCGTACCGCGGCCTGGAGTACCTTGGCCTAGGCCGCAACCGCATCACGGAGCAGGGCTTGCGCGCCCTGTGCCAGCCCTTCCAGCCCTGCCCGCTGGCTTTGGAGGAGGTGCCCGCGGCCAAGGAGCGCATCTCCAAGCAGCAGGCAGCGGCCAAGGCCGTGGCCGAGGCCAAGGAGAAACATGGTCGACGTTGGAAGGGGAGCCAAAAATCAATTAAAAAAAAAAAAAACAATAGCACAATAATAAGCAAAAATGTAAACCACTAAAGTTGCAACCACTAAACCACAAGAAGCAAAAAGGTGAAAATGTAAATCCCAACGAGCACCAAGGAAAGCCCAGGCCCAGGGCACGGAGTTCAGCGGCCGCCAGCGCCGCGCGTCCGTGCCGCTGGTGGACGAGCTGGAGGAGCGGGAGGAGGGCGCGGTGCTGCGGAAGCTCTCCGAGCTTCGGTGCCTGGTGCCTCAACTGCTGCTGGATCGGATCTTTAGACTTTAACCCTTTTCGGGAAATCAAGGATTCGGTTTTTTTATTGAACCCCCCGAAAAAGTCAAACACAAAAAAGGCGCAACTTTCTGCATGGGGGTCGTTGCAGCACCCCAGGTGCTGTCCGAGAACCCCATCAAGAGCGCTGACGTGTTGGAGGCGTGCCAGAGCCTCGGCCCCCGGGGGGCGGACCTGGTGCTGCGCGGCACCGCGGCGGCGGCGGAGCTGGGCGCGCGCCGCCCCGAGCTCCTGCGGGAGAAGGAGCGCAAGCCGCTGCTGAACTTGGGCCATGCCAAGGAGTCTTCCCCAGAAGTAGCGCCTTTTTTGTTGTTGTTTTGGTTTCTTCTTTTTTAGCTTGTTTTTGCTTTTTTGCTTTTTTGGGCTCCCCCTTTTTCTTAGTTTTTGCTTTTTTAAAAGGTCCCATAGGTCCCTTTGCTTTCCACTCACCAGGCAAAAACAAATGTTGTTGTTTTTGGCTGGGGTCCGAATGCCAAGGATTCAGGGCCAGCAGAGGGATGGGTTCTACGTTTGAATCCGTATTGAACGTTTCACGATGTTTCACACATGAGCCACAATCAAATCCCAACCATAAATAGCTGCGGCCGCCTTCTTAATTCTGTACATGGTTCTGGGTAGACCATTTTAGTACCAGGTTTTGATTGCGACTCACATGTTACTTGTTTCACTTGGAGAAGGCCTTCTTTCCGGATGGAAAGTTGGAAGAAAACTCATAGCCCGTCGCTTCTTTGTCTCTGGAGCTAGTTCCCCTCTTGAAGGGAGCCAAGATGGTCAAACCATGTTGGTTGTCCCCACGCCTCGCAATCACACTTGTCAGTGTATCTGGGTCCTTTAGCGTAAACATCTTTAAAGGACCAGGCAATGTGCCCTTTCTGCGGGGAATGCAAAAGGCTCAATACGTTTTCAATCATGGCGTTCTTTTAGTCTTGTGGCACCCCAACCCCCGCAACCCCCCCCCCCCCCACACTCCTATGTTTTGTTGCTCTTTACGCAATCGTGTGCATTTTTAGTTGTGGCCCATTTGGCTCAAGGCCTGTGTTTTGCAACACGGTATTTCCCTGCGACTCAGAGTCTAATTCTCATGCACTTCCAAGCTTGGCAATCCACTTGGAACAGACATGGGCAGCATACCTAGCTTTTGCGGGCTTTGTAGGACCCTAGTTCCAGCACAACCCAACCCAACCCCCTTCGCTTTTCGCTAACCAGGGTGTGGGGGGATGTACCTGGCTGTCGGTTTCGGGCAGGTTATTTGACCCTCAGGTCGCCTGGATGAGATCCTGGTGGATCGACAGGTGGAGCTGAAGTACACCGGCAACGCCCGGCGCCTCAGCGAGCCGCAAAAGCTCCGAGCGAGCGAGCCGCCAGAGAGCCAGCCGAAAGCCGAGTTGTCCTACCCAAACAAAAGCACCGCACAGTTTGGTGTCAAAAACATAGGGGAACCTCAAAATGGATTGAGTCATATCCTGTTGGAAATTTGGGTAACCCCAAAATGGGTTGAGTCACATCTTGTTGGCTTTTCTTTGACCCATTCCCTTCTGGCAGTTCTCAGGGAATCCACCAAATCGGAATCTCCTTAGTGGATGGCGTGGCCCTGGATTGAGGAGCCTGAAATATTGATGCGGGGAATATGTCATCCCAAAGCAGTAAGGGCGCGAAATTAGTAAAGTAAGACACCTCCTCTGTGATTCCAATTTGTGGTGAATGAATCCTGGGTTCGCATGTTGCATTGTTTGCTTGTAGTGGTTTAGTGGGAAATCCCCACTTAACTGCCATTCTGTTGAAAATTGTTGCTTCCCTTCCAACGTCAACCAAGTTACATTCATTCGGTTTGCGAAAAGAAGGAATCTCGGAATCACCAGGAAGGGACCTTCATTGGTTGTGCCCCCGTCTTTCTCTATGAGCGTTACCATTTGCCCAGACACTGGGCTGCCATGCCACGGCGGGTCCCTTATAAGGAGTTTGGATTGGTCGTTGCACCTAAGCTCATGGGCACTTTGGTTCGACAGACCATGAATCACCCAAGTTGATGTATGGATAATTCTCCCAAGATGCTTTGTTTCCTTTTGGTTTCCCTACCCAAAAGGGGATCGATATTTTTCTTGGAGAAAGACGGTCTTATTTCCACAAGCTAGGGCAGGTCTAGCCAAACCCATATTGCTGCCCGAATTGGTGGATTGCCGCTTCAATGCCGGCTGGACATCAAAGTGATAGTCAGGAAAGGCTTCTCCTGGATAGCTCAGTTAAAGACACGAATATGGGTGATTATTTTTTTGTTTCCCCACCAGAACTGGTGGTTTTTCTTTTGGCTTCCCTCAACCAGCCTGCCCTATAAAAAATAAAAATAAAAATAAAACATATTGCAATTATCCTCCCTCCATACGGAGATTGTCCAAGCAAACGTTGCGGGTGGCCCATGTTTCAGGAGTACAGCCACTCAGGAACAATGCTTAGTGGTCATCCAAAAACGGTTTGTTTTTTTGTTAAAACACAAAGATACAACACGGCAGGGGGGGAAACAAGGAGAACTTGCGTGTTTGTTTTTGTTCTTTCCTTTTTTTTCTGCTTCTTTTTTTTATGAGGGGTGCACTCCCTGTTTGAGCAAATGGGAGCAGAACCAAGGAAGCCCAATTTCGACACGCCAGCGGCGCCATAGAGTCAGTCTCAAGGGTGTGGGGTGCAACAGGAGGGTCGGCCCCTGATGTTCACAAGCAAAACCCCCCTCTCACTGGGGCTGGGGAGGGAGCCCCTTATTAAGCCCCTAATAAGGCCTTATTTGGGCCTTATTGGGGCTCCCTCCCCCCTCCCCCCCAGCCCCCATGATCCTCCGACAAAAACTAAAAATCTTAAAATAAATTTAAAACAAAGGTTCGTTGCGCATGGCTCGAATTTTGTTCGCCTTTAGGGTAACTCTTACCGATGCAGGCCAAGAATCCAAGTCTCCGCTGGCCCCGAAATGGGTACTAAAACCTTCCAAGGGTGCCCTCAAAGACAAACTAGCGCACTCAAATATGGGGGTTCCAGTTCTGGGGCGGCGTTCACGTTTTGCTGCGGCATCAAAGCGAAACCAACCAAGCAAGCCAACCAGCATTCCATTTTTGAGTGATCCAGTTTCCAAACATGTGTGTTTTTGAACCTCAGCCTTCCTCAGTTCCTGGACTTCAAACTTTTTGGGAAGACCATGTCGGTGGTAAGCACAAATCTTGGTTAATCTTGGTTGCTTGTCTTGGCATCCATCCACTCGATGGGAAGTGAGCAGCCCCATCTCTCTTTTTTTTCCCCTCGCTGCGGCTCCTCGGGGGAAAAAAAAGCGACAGCGTCTCAGGTGCTGCTCTGGGTCTTTGCCACTCGGAGCCTCAGTCGGATGCAGTGCCCCGATCAAAATTTGACGGGCAGATGGGCAGATGGAGGACCCCCCGATCTCCACGAGTGCGGAGATCCGCCCCTTAAAAAAAAAGATCTTGAAGCCCGGTTGTGGGCTTGGACCATTTTAGTACCAGGTGTTGATTATGGCTCATTTGGAGTTTTATCCCCAATCAGCTTCCTTTCAGATAAACTCACAGCTTTTTTGTCTCAAAAACAAATCTCAACCGTGTTCAAGAGTTTTGGCTCTCACTTCCCCACCGGTGATCACGACTCGAGGCCACACCTGTCAGGTACCGAGACTCGAAGTGGGCTCTCGTAGTCAGTGACTCAGCCATCTGACTGGTTGCGAGTGAGCGACACGCGTGCAATGGGCTCGTCCTGGACTTGGTACCAGTGCATCCCAGTCAATGCCTCAAGTAGGTAACCCTCGGCTCTTTTCCTCCTTTTTTTTTAATGGGCGGTTCCATTGGTTGCCTTCTATACAGGATCCACTGTGGTTTTAAAGGAAACAAACAGGAACACCGATGCCATTTTGGGGATCCGATTCCTAAGTCAAGACGAGCAACCCACTTTTGAGCTTGTGACGTTTGCGGCTGCTCATTGCTAGCATCACATTGCAGCCTTTGGCTCTTCAGATTTATATCACCCCTTGTTTCAGCACGGTATTTGGCAATAGGGCTGAGACTTAGCTAAGCCTGGTTTGCAGCAAGCAGCACACCAGGAGTTGCAAAGAGCGCGATGCTTGGGCACAGCGTGACTAGCAGATGCAGTCGTGGATGCTGCATGGACTACCGTCAATGTTTCCCTCCGCCCTTGCTGCATGCTGTCAAGCAGCTTGTTTTGTTTGCTTTCTATTTTCTTGCTCAGTTGTTCAGTGGCACCCTGTTTCCCCTTTTTTTTGGTGGCTGCCCCACTAAAAATGGTCCAAGCCCCAAAAAGGGAACCGGTCACTGAAGAACTGAGCTTGAGTTTACTTCTTTAGAAACCCCGAAACGCCTTGCTTTCTTGGCAAATCCCGCTTTCGGGGAGACGATCGATCTGGTGCAAATCCTTTGAGACGTTTCCTTCAAACGGGTGCAACGATTCCTGCCCACCGATTCCTCCCCACAGACAGACAAGGGATCGGATCCATCTTAGTGGTGCCATAGGTTCTGAATGACCGGGAAAGAAAGTTTTGGGAAACCGGAAGGAAGGATTCCCTCAAAGGAAACCATCGATGGAAATGTTGGTCATTCCAACTCATTCCCTGTCGAAGCAGCAAGCCATTTCCCAGGCTTTGGACCTTGCGCGAGACAAGATCTTCTTAGAGCAGGCCATGGGGTCGACCCGTCCCAGTCCCGATGTCCGAAGTGTTTGTTATGAGGTTTCTGATTTTGCGAAGCCAAAAGGAAAGCATAGTGCTTCCAGCTCTTTGTTTGTTAGATTGATAGATGTGTCGTTTAGGTCTTGGAAGTTGTTTCTTACTTTGAGACTTGGGTTCAAATGATTTGATGTCTGGGTATTCGAAGCTGACCTTTGGATGCATTACGCGGATCTGATCCCGCGATTTGTAAGACTCCGGTTACCCTGTACCATTGTGTGTCAATTCACAGAGTCGGGGTATCCCTCCACTGGACCAAATCCACCTCCAGCCTGGGAGGTTATGAAATATCCAAATCGGGTGTCATCCATCGGATCTTCGCCGGGCCGGGCTGCACCTGTCGCCTTTTTGGGGTCAGCGACAGACTTGAACTGCCCATGCGATGTTTTTGGTTAGCTTTGGAGTTATCCCCAAAGCTTTTGCTTTGCAAGTGGCCCATTCTTTGAGTTCCTGGGCGTCAACTTTGGGCAGACCAACTCAGTGGATAGAATTCCGTTGGTTAGCTTTCTTTGGGCCATCCACGAGATCGGTTCCTTTGGGTTTCGCCGGTCTCAGGTGCCCTTTCACAACCTTTGCCAGCTGCTGGAGAGTGTGGCCGGCCGACTTTCAAGTCGAGCGGCGGGTTCCAGGAAGCGCTAGCGCTGTAGATTGGGTCGTGTTTCTTCAAATCCGAAACAACACAGATGCCTAGGGGTGACCAGAGTCTGTTTTGTTTGGAAGTTTGGAGTATGTGCTGAGCAGTTTTTCGAAGTTATCCTGTTGATTTTAATGGGAATCTATCACTACGGTTGTTTCCAGCAAACTTCCTGGAGCCTCCATCGTAGCAAACATTTATGCCGGCCCCCTGGTTCGATACACAAATTGACACATTGTAGCGTTTTTCCCTCCACAACTGCTTTCGAGCATGTTTTTTGGAATCGAGCAGAAATTGAAATCAAGTTCGGCAGTTTCATGTTCTTTCACAGAGGCGAGTTTGGGAAGAGTCATCCACGAAACGAGCGCAAGTGCAAAACGAGCTCAAATCGGCGCAAACGAGTTCAAACAGGGCAAACGAGCGAATCTCCAAAACATGGTACAGGGAATGGGTCCCGACGGGCGCATGATTGCTGACAACTCGAGCATTTTTTGTTGAATCGTACATGTATTTTAGAACAGGTTGTCACGAGCAGAAAAACAAGACGGGCAAAAAAGTTCATGTATCAACGGAGGCTGCAGGTTCAGCAAACGGACGCGGTGATTTTCCGGTAAACCGGCCCACCATTTTTCAGCGTCGAAGCTGCGTGGAATTTGATTGAAACACAAGTCCGATTGGAATGGCCAGTTTTGTTGGGTCAGTTTTGAGAGCTCTAGGGGTTGTTTCCTTGTCCATTCTTTGCAACCATCGTTCTTTTCAAACACCGATCGCCGTGTTCCCTGGGTTTCCGGAGGTTTTCTAGAAAGCAGGATCCCTGGCAAGAATGGGGAAGGTACCCCTAGAAGAACGCCTTTTCAGCTGAGCATTGGAGGTGTGGTTGATTCATGGGAGGCGAATTGCACCTGAAGGTTTCACTGGCAGAGGCAAATGGGCATGGGTCAAAATCCCGTACCCTCAGTGAACATCCCAATCCCCACTAAAATCGACCATAATGGGTGGTGCACCTACCCCAAAATGGTACCATTGGTTTTGATCCAGAGCCAAATGACTGGAGCTCAACAAGGTGGCCACGTCCTTTTATTTTCTGTGAGGCGTCCAAATAAGGACTCAGGCAACCGGCGTCAACGGGACCAATCCACACAGGGGTGTTCCGCCAAACTTCAAGGATTCATAGCCCCTCTTTGTCCAATGGTTCAATCCGGGTTGTGCTGGAGTTGGCCAGAATTTGCGGAGCTTAACCTTTTCGACGAAATGGCCTATCAGCCGCGGCCTCAGCGCGGAAGCCCAAACAAGGCCCCCTCCTTTGCCTCACCTTTGAAAGTTTAGAAGGGGGTTGAGCGCTGTTCTGGGACGCGCTTTGCAAATCGCGTGTTTGTTGTTCCCTGGCGGAAAGGTCCAGTGTCAAGAAGGCGCAGTCCTTTAACTCGTCATAGGGAACCACTGCAAAAGTGGCTGGCCAACACACCTCCCCGTCTACCTGAAGGATCCCCAATTTTGATTTGCACCGCACAGGTACGCTTCATCTAAAGGCTCAGCTCATGGAAGGTTCCTTAGTTTTCTATGGGGAGGGGGTTAGATGTCTCCCAGGCGGTCTAAGAAATAAAGCCACCGGTCAGATGCTATTTGATTGGGCTTGAGTCACTTGGAGTGTGTCCTTCGGCCACGCGAGCCTTAACCTGAACTCACCGCACGGATGCCTGTGGCCACGTGCTGTTCGATTGGACTCGTTCCTAGAAACAGCTCAGTGGGGAAGCGAGGGGCAAGCGACGGAGCCAGCAGAAGGATCTGCTTTTAGTGAGCTGGGCAACCTTGCGGACGGAGAACGTTTGCGGTCCTCTAAAAGCATTTTATTGGTGTATTTTGCTTGGATGTTAGGACTTTAACTTTTTGCCAACTAATGGTTTTCCCATTCAACCACTAAAAGTTAAACTTTTTGCAGGGGAGCAGAAAGCAGCCGAGTTTTGCTAGTTACAGAGTAGGAGCTTGAGATCTGAACAATCTGGTGGGTGTGGGATTTAGCTTGAATGACCTACATGTCTTCCATTTGCAGCAAGGCACTTCAGCTAAACAGACTTCCATCCGTCGCCGCTTCATTTTTTTGCAGATTGGACTGGAGATCTATGCAATGTCATAATTCCAAGCTCAAGTTGGACATTATTTCAAAATCCATTGCCATCCCTGCCTTCTGGCAACTCGAAGCATCTCTGCAAAGAAGTTGACAGACATGGAATGATAGACGTGAATTAATTGCTGTGAATCAGTAGGTTGAATCGTCAAACAGATCTCGACCCCCTAAAAATGCTGAGCGTCTCGTCCAAGTTTCACCTTGTTTCACGTCCCCATGGTCCCCAAGCCAAAGCAACCGCTCGGAGTGGCCCACCCAGAGGGTGAGGCATCCTTGCCAGTGAAGCTGTTGCCGACAACGTTGCCGAAGGAGCTTTTCCGTGGAGTGCCTTTGCATACATGTTTGGCAGGTTTGGGGAAGCACTGGGCCACCAATCTCGATGAGAAGCATGCGGATTTTCTCTTTAGCAGAGAAGTGGAGTTTCTCGATGACTTTTTGAGCCATGATTGGGCAACATCACGCTGGACCAAGCTTTGCGCGTTGATGGTCGTGTATAACTCCAGAGCTGCTTGCATAGCAGCCGGTACTACCACCTTCGTGTGGTCAATCCTTGGAAAGGCTCTCCTGATGCCAGATGCTTCACGAAAGCAGACGTTCGCGGAGTACTGTTTGTTTGTGACCCCTGTGATTGTCGTGTTTTATCTTTTCCTTGTTTGGTGGCAGCAAATCAGAAGGCTCTTCGCAAGCCCCAGCATGGTCTTTTTAGACAAGCTCTGCATCTCGCAGCACGACGTACTCAAGAAGGAGGAGGGCATAGCTGGGCTTGCAGCCTTCCTCTCCAACAGCAAGAGGATGGTGATACTTTGGTCCCCCAAGAGTTTCCGCTGCATTTCAGCATGTTTTGGCAAGTTTGCTGGACGCATAGTAGCATAGACGGAGACCACCTGATTCACTCGCATTCTATTTTAAACCTGATGATGTCAACATAGTGCAGTTGAACAACTTGCATCACACTGCCGCTTTTGCACACACACAAGTAAGGTACTTCAGTCGCTTGTGGTGTACGTACGAGCTTGGGGCCTTCTTACGCCTGCACACGCAGAAGCACGTTGAGGTCATCCCGGCATCTTTTGGGTCCTATTTATGTATCGCCAGCCTCCTGCTATCTGGGAGTTTCTTCGTCTTCACCGGGATTGATGCAGCAGCGTTTTCTTACGAGGAGCTTTCTGTCGACCTACACGTGCTTCAAGATGTACTGCACATTGTTACCATGTTCTCGGCTCTTTGGGTTTACGTGAAGACCGTGAGAAGTTTCGCCCAACTGTCAGAGCAGCTGTCAAGCTTCAGCATTCGGGACTCTCAATGTTTTTGTTGTTCTGTGGACCATTGCATGCCTGATACAGGCGAAGAAATCCCATGCGACCGACGAGTCGTGTATGGTACACTGGAAACCTGGTACAGCGGAGACGAATACGCAGATCCTCTGGAATCCTTTGATCAAGAAGTACGATCTCACCTCAAGGAGTTTGTTGCGCAGCAGTTTGGAAATGGCTATTTTCCAATCGCCTATTTCTTCTACGTGGTTATGTTCTGCCGTGTTTGCTTGGCGTTCAGCTTCTATGGCAAAGACGTGGTACTGCCAGCCACGGCATGGCTAGAGGTAGTGCCAGAAGCCGCAAGTCCATTCTACCGCTGCAGTAAATTGATAGAAGAGTCCGTGAATCTTTCTTTGGTGATCGTTGCGGCACTTGCCCTTATTCGACTGAGTGGGTGCATGCTATACTTGCCGAACCGATGTTCGCTGCTCTCTGTTGTAATTCTGGCCTTGATATTGGAAGGGGTCAGTCAGCTCAACAGAGCAGTGCTGCTTTATTTCCGGTACGGTCTGTACAGCAAGGCTGAGTGGGCGGCACTTGCGTACCAGCTCGTTCTTACGATCTGGTGCATGATTGGCATCCGTGTGATGGCCTCGCGGTCAGGCCAGGCTGTCCATAAGTAGACCATACCCTTGTGTTGCTGCCGGGGCTGCTGCGAACTGCCTTTGCCACCTGAAGAGAATGAAGGGACGTCGTTTTGACCAAATGTAGGCTTGCATGCATCTTGGCCGGGCTCCGCAGCGACCATTGTTGTTCAGCGAGATTGAGCATGTGCGGCTTGTCAGTGTTGGTTCGGAATGGAAAGTGTCCTTCAGTTTCTGACGGCCGATTTGGCTGCGGCGCCTGCCGGGGTCGCCTGCAGTCTGGCTGAAGATTTGGCGACGATGCGCAGCAAAAGAGCAGCCGGCGACTCGGGCGACCAGCAGGCACCTGCAAAGCGCATGCGCGCGGCATGCTGGAAATGCAGGACGACGCGCAGATGCGACACCAGGCCACATGCAAGCGACATCGGGTAACGCGCAAGCGACACGCAAGTAGCACACTTCTCTGGCCGAAGTGATGCTTGAGTGCATGATAAGTGACGCCCGGCGCCAAGAGAGCAACGGGCAAATGCGAGCAGCGCAACACGACGCACAAGCGCCCAGGCATCACAAACATGCTTCCCGCCAGCAGCGCGTGACGCGCGTACGAGTTGTATCCCCAACATGCTTGTACTCTGTCGCAATTTGTGGGCGCTGTGCTGACTTTGGCCCCGCCATTTTTTAGCGGAAGCGCAGAACTAGCTCCGAACTATGCCAGCACATGTACTGTACTTATGTCAATATTGATGTCTCTTCATTTGTCTTTATCTAATATGTCGATTGCCATATGTTGTATTTAAGTTTTAAAAGTCAACAGAAACATATGACATGGTGGTTCTATCTAACATGTTCTAACATGTGTTTATTGAGTATGATCCTTCATTGCCGTTTTGCATTATTCAATTTCACTAGCAACACAATCGGTAACACCCGAGTTGATTACCAATGTTTTTCCATGCTGATACATAACGTCGTGTTTGAGAGCGACATATCTACATTGGACTCTAAACCCAGTTAAATGTTAACGTATAACATGTTCACACTATGCATATACATATATATATATACATATGGTATCGCAACCAAATAACTAATTGGCACGCTGTAAGTCATTGTAAAACATCAATAACCAACTAAACACAAACACACAAAAACCTAAAACATGCAAAAAGCACAGCGCAGAGAACACAATGAACCGCTGCTGCTTTTTGTTCTTCAGACTGTCTGAAACCCTGGGGCGGTTCATTTCCCACGAAAACCTCGAGGGAAGTCTATCTCAAAGAAAATATGTTCATCACCCTTTGGTGCGACAGCTTCTCCCATCGGCGAGAAGCAGAAGGGCGAGAGCGAGTCCGGCCTCGCGGAAGCTGCAACACGCCCCTCCCCCATCTTTCGGAGCATGCCATTGCGAGCCTTTAATTAAAAGCATTTCTCTCCCTTTCCACCTGCCCTACTTTCTCTTAGCCCTTCTTTCGGTCCTTCCATTCCTCCCTTCCTCCCTTCCTCCCTCCCTTCCCTCCCTTCCCTCCCTTCCCTCCCTTCCTTCCCTCCCTTCCTTCACTTCCTCCCTCCCTTCTTCCCTTCCCTCCCTTCCATCCCTTCCTTCCTTCCCTCCCTTCCTCCCTTCCTCCCTTCCTCCCTTCCCTTCCTCCCTCCCTTCCTCCCTTCCTCCCTTCCCTCCCTTACTTCCTCCCTTCCTCCCTTCCTTTACTCACTTCCTCCCTTGTCTTTCCTTCCGTCCCCTTTCCTCCCTTCCTCCCTCCTTTCTCTCTTTCCCCTTTCCGCGGTGAGGAGCTTCGCAGAGCTGTTTCTCGCCGAGCGACAACTCTTCAAAGAGCTCAGGGCACGGAGCCCAGCGACACGCAAAATCCGCGCCCCGCGAAAAACTTCCGGAAGACCAATACGTGAAGCATCCCCAAAAGCATCCCAAAGATCATCATCCCAAATCAATTTGGTTTTGTTTTCTTGGGTAACCCCCAAAGACTGTGGTTTCTTTTCCCTCTTTAAAACCACCCAAACAATCAGGTACCCCTTAGTTGGTGGTTTGGATTGGTGGTTTGGGGATTTGAACGCCTGGTTCTTATAGTAGGTATGGGGAACCTCTTCTTAACCCACCAAACCGCCAATCCAAACCACCAATTTTCGAGGGAAGCTGAAACAAAGATCCCGAACCACAAATACAAACGGTCCGATTCCCCTCTCCCCCCCCCTGCCCCCCCCCCTCCCCCTCCGCTCCCCATCCCCTCCCCCCCCCCCCTAGGGGAAGCTGAAGGGTACGCTCACAAGGGACACGTCCGAGGACATCGCCCAAGTTCTTTGGGCCTTTGCCCACGTGGGCTTCTTCCACCCCGAGGCGGGGCGAACGTTTGGCGAGCCCCAGATGGACCATCTTCGACTTGTTTCTCTAACAAAAACACAGCTAAATAAGAACAGCCTAAAGAGAAAGATGGCTTTCCAAGTAGTGGCCAAATTGGCTGGTTTCCGTTTGTTTTCCCTTTCAACTGAGGATACCGTTTGCAGTAGCTGCATACGACCTGGGGCTCCTTTCAAGCGGCGTGATGTGGTCCTTCAAGGCGCTCCCTAAAGGCTGGGGGTCGACGCTGGATGTTTCTGACAAGTTGCCAGGGCTCAAAGAAGCTGAAGACATGCTCCGTCTAAAGCGTTGCTCCTGTCGAATGAGAGTGCTGCAGAGGTATACGTTTGAGATTTGGACGGGCGTGCCAGCATGCATTTGGGGGCGATGTCAACTACATGGCTACCCGCTCCAGGCAAGTACATATTGACATATTTCATCACTTTAGCCGTACGACGGCCTTCTGCTTTTGCTGACCAAGCCCGTTTGCGTACAGCGCAGAAGATCTAACTAGCCAGATTGCAGGATGAGTTTGGCCAATGGTCAATGCCACCCTGGCGCAACTGCACAACTTTACGGTAACTTCACATGCTCGGGGTCATGCTAACAGACGGAGATCGGGGAGCCATCCGCCTTTCAGATAGAGAGCCGAGTGAAGTGACCGTACTTCACCCTCGTGTTTCAAATTGGTTGGCTGCCAGCCGAGCTTGATCCCATGTTCATCAGCATCCATGTTCACCAACTTTGGCGCATGGCTCGCCCTTTTGAAAGTACCCCTAAAACGGGGTGGTTTTGGAAATCCGCTCCATGGACACCGCCCACCCTTTCTCTTTTTCCCGCGTAGCTCTTCGACGCCCTGTACAACCTGATCCTCGACAGGTTCGAGGCGCGGCGTCGTTGCTTTCTTTTCGGCGGTGTATATGGGGTGCATTTTATTGAGGGTGCCCATTGTGATATAGGTTTAAAAGGGAACCAAAAGGAATCCAACCATTTGTTGGGTTCCACCATTTTGAGAGACACACCCACATTATTGGGGTGGTAAAAATGGGGGAGAATGGGTAAATGGGGGCAAAATAGGCCGGGTCGCAATCCGCTGTGCCTGAAACCTTTGGTGAATTTTGCTTGGATGTTAGGACTTTAACTTTTTGCCAACTAATGGGTTTTCCATTCCTCCACTATAAAAGTTGTTTTTGGGGGCATGTACATTTATCATAGCATGTTTGATTATTGCCATGGCCAATGCGCCATTTGGCTCAAGCTTTTCACTGCGTCAATTCCCGTTTGCTGTTTCGTCGCTCATAACCTGTGGCGCGGCGCGTCATCCCGTACCTGAAAAAGGGCGGGCTGACGCAGCTGCGGTGGGCTTCTGGGTGGAGCAGGTCGGATCGGGGTTTGGTAGTGTGCGTGTTGTTTGCTTGCTCGCTTCGCTCGCTTTGCTTGCCCGCGTTGGTGCTGCTGCTCGTGCGCTTGCTGCGCTGCTTGCCCTTGCTGGGTTCTTTCTTCTGTTTGTTAAACTGGCAACCCTTTTGGTTCGTGTTTGTGCCGGCCGAGGGCAACCGCTTTGCCCTTGGGACCGGGGGGATAAGGTGGTCTCTTCTTGTTGGTGGGATAGGGCCTGTTTTATCCATCCCGAAACTCTGTTTCAAACCCTTTCGCAGGTTATCAGCCGTAGGATTCGTCCTCGGTTGGCACCGCGAACCCCAATTAATAACAACCCTGCAGGCGCCGTTTTCCATAGGCTACTGTAGGACTCATGGCGGGAATCACCGAGGATGGACCTCATGTGGTAACCGATGAGTGGGTTCTCGGCCAGGCCGGAATCTTGGACGTTGTGAATGACGACCAAGTGCCCGGACAGCCGATGTTTTCCGGTCCTGACTTTTTGTCGGACCACTCTTTTTCAGAAGCAATGCCTTCAGGAAGATCCAGTGCTACTCGCACTGATGAGCTATCGTCTAATGCTTCAAGAGCTAATCGCTCTCAGGGTCATGGGGCTAATCGTCCTGACCATGATGATTCCGTCTCAGGACGTGATGATGACGAGCCCGGTATTGCACCTGGAGCTCAATCCTCATCTTTCCCGGAGCTGATGAATATTGGTCAGTCCGAGCTTCGTGACTCTCGAAGTAGCAGTAGACCTGTGCCAACCAGCAGTATAGTTTTTCAAGCGCTCGGTAATCCCGAACCTGGTACATCCAGTGGAGTTGCATTTGACGCTCATCTGCCGACCGAATCCGGTGGACTCGATTGGAGAGCCTCATGGCCCAACGACGGAAACATTTTTGGTATGGATTTTGCCGCATGGATGCCAGGGCCACCCGCCCCGTCATCTTTCCCGCATTTCCAGAGCCCAAAACGAGCTGCTGGAAGTGATGAATTCATGCTACCTTTGTCGATTGAGAATCTCAATCCTGATGTGGCCAGCCGCAACGTCAGGCCAAGACCGTCAGTAAACCCGACCATGAGGAACATGTCTCCTCCCCCGGGACTTTCGGGATTTGAGAGCCCTAGGGAGCGTAATATCGTAGATAGATTGGATTTGCATCCCAGTCCAACCCCAAGCAAACGATCAAGGTCAAATTCGACTGGATCGCATAGGGCAAGGGGGATGGATCGGGAAACTGCTCACAGGGGTAACCCCAGTGCGCGGGACTCAGGACGCGGCCGATCAGGTGACCCAGCGTCAATCATTGGAAGAGACCCGTTAAACGCGGACACACTCGTTAACGTGCTTGATGGGATCGAGGCATTCCAGGAGGAATTTAATAGGTCTAGTGGCTTGAACGTGCGAAGTGTTCACCCTACGCCCAACGCGGCTTCCATTTTCGCTCTGGACAATATGGACGGAGCTAATGTTCCGATAGAATCTGAATCCATGATGGCATCAAGTTCTAGTCGCAATCATACCATCAGTAATGCGACTGTTATTGAATCGATGTCTGAGTCTAGAGTGTCCAATGCGACCGACTTGAATGACATTGTTATTGCTGACTCGAGACCTGATGTTCCTATGCGGACGGATAGGCCTGTTGTTCCTAAACTGTCCATGGCCAAAGGCCTGGGCATGACACAACCCTCTGCGGTTCGTGATGCTAGGAGATCTGCTCCGTATCAGAGTCAATCTCCTAATCGGAGTGAGTTCCCACGGCCATCAACGGCCGTGCAGGATGATTTCAGAACTCCTCCGAGATCTAATCCAATCATGGTTGATTTATCCACTCCTCGAGATCGCGGATCAGGATTTGGTCCTGCGAGTGAGGAGCAACCCAACGAGGTTGCTGATCTTGTAACAGCCCTTGAAAGAGGAAGAGTGGACTCTTCGGTAAGTGCGATCATTCATCGCCTGGTTGCTAAGGTCGAAGACCTTGGGCGTAGGAATGATAGAAGTGATCAATGCATCAAGCAGCTCTCCACTGAGGTCGACTCGTGGAGGGCCAAATACGAACAATGTGTCCATGTGAGTAGCACGTGTACGCAGGCTGCGAACGCGGCCATGCAGCTATCACAAGGGAGTAAGGACATCGTGACCGAGCTTGGCCAACGCGTCAAGATCGTTGCCGATCGCATGATAAGCATGGGCGATGCCCTAAGTGAGCGAGCCAGCTATGATGATGTTGCTCGCTCCATCACCCAGGTTCAAACTGTTTTTGAATCTCTTTCTGATCGTGTAGCCGGGCTTATAGCTCGTGTTGATATGATCGAGAGATCTCTAGTGGAGAGCCAATCCAACCATCCTGCGATTGGTGGAGTAAACCTCAAAATCGAGGACCTGTCCACTAGGGTATGTCAGATTGATAGGATGATGCAAGATGTCGAACAACGCTGGACCAATAATAGGGACGGCATAAAGTGGGTTAAAGACCAACTTTATGAGACACAAGCCAACCTTGAGATAAAGTCAAGGGACTGCAAATCCTACACGGACAAGCAAAATACTCATAACATGGCCGTTTCGACTACGCTCAACAGTAAGCTCGAGCAAATGCTCGAGGTGCTGGGTAATACGGCCCAGAGAATTAGCTCCCTCGAGTCAAGGCACTCGAACCAGGCCTCAAGTAGTGGACTGAACGATCGCACAGGAGGAAGGCGTGCCGCGTCCGGCCACCTCCACCTGGTCCTCCTGATGATGATCCTCCACCACCTCCTCCTCCAGATTGGCAAAGCCCAGGAGGAGGGGGGAAGAAGAGTGCTGCCGGTGGGAACCCTGGCAACCCTGGTAAACCCAGAGGTAAATATGTAGGTGATGGATATAATCATCTCATGGCTGAGTTTCACTGCAAAGATGCAGAGGTGATATCTAGAGCATTGTTTTCAAGCGAAAGAGAAACCCATGTGAAGAATGCTCTCAGAACGGACTCGATGGGAGTCCGTAGGGAGAGCCTGCTCTGATCATGGAAATTCTGAGGTCGTTTAGAAGATTCACTACTGACCAGACATCCTGTTGGGTGCAGATGACTATGGAGACGGATTTGTCCAGGTCCCTGTTGCCTCTGCGTGTCTAGGGACCAAACTGGTATGTTAAAGGGATCCCGATGGCACCGTGGTCAGGAAATAGATCGCCTGAGGCTGCACTTGAGACGAAACTGACGCGGGTTTGTACTGGCGCTTTCATAAGCATCTGTTGATGCCATTCCAGATACCTAACTGGTCAAATTCCATGCTGCTGACTCAGAGTTCCTCTGAAGATGCAACCAAGGCTTGGATAAACGTGAAACCGGATATTATCCAGGATTCGATCCAAACGGTACAAGGCCGAAGGATCCTTCAGGCCTTGAGCCGCCGACCATGCGTGGCCCCGATCCTCCTGACAAGAAATGTCGGATGTGTGATCGGGATATTCCTGACCCCAGAAAAATTGAGGAATGTAAGATATGCATGAAAAGGGCATGTGAGATTTGCATTCCGAAGGCTACTCGCCTTTGTCCTGTATGTGCATTATCAATCGGTAGTTCTCAGGTTCCACAGCATCTTTTCGGAACTGGTGGCGGCGGGTACAGTAGCCACCATGATCCGAACTGTACAGCTGCGACTAAATGCATTTCCATAGACCTCCCGCCAGAGCCCGACGCGGCTGGGCTGAGGGTATGGATAGCCAATATGAAGGAAGCTGTTAGCAATGCCTACAGCTATGATGGACTTTACGTCATCAATTGGCTAACTGAAGTCGAGAAGGCAAAGTCCTTTGATGAACTGGATGGGGAATGTAAATACCACATCCTTGAAGCCAGGTTCAATGCAGCCATTCGGAAGTGCATCAATACTGTTGCAATTATCGATAAGATTAATCGTCTCACCGAAGCCGCTCAACGCTCCAACAATCGCATCAAGAGTAGGCAGATCCTGTGGCTATTATACGACCACTTAAGGACTGCAAATATCGGAGAGCAATCATTTAGGATAATCGAGCTCTCAAACTTGCGATGCAGTGTTTCATCTTTCTATACTGAAGAGGAGCGACTTGAAAGGTTCATCGCGAAGTGGGATCACATCCTTGCGGGTCTCGATGAACCGCTGACCGAGCAGGTAAAGCGGTCGCTATTCAGTGAGACGGTTAGACACCTCAACTGTTTGGCTCATGATATCAGGGAATGGGATAGGAACATATCCAACCCTGATGTTTGTAGCTATGAATGGCTTCGTGCTCGTTGCAAGAACGAAATTGACCGCTGGAGGGTTCGTAAGAATCAGGTCAATATGCACAAAGACTTTTACGAGCGATCTCAGTCCAGAGACAGAGCCCAGAA